AGATTTTCAGTACTTTGGATCTTCGAGCAGAATATCATCAGTTGTCGATTCGAGAGCAGTACAAGGCCAAGATAGCGTTTTGGGGCGTCAACTCTCACAGCAAGGATTGTTTGTACCAATGACGATTCTTACCCTTTGGGTTGAAGAATGCACTTGCCGAGTTTCAGAGGGTTATGGACATGATTCTAGCGGGGCTGGATTTTTTCAGATGTTACATTGATGATATCTTGGTGTTTAGCGACACTGTGGAGCATCACCAGATACATTTGAAGATTGTGTTTGAACGATTGAAGGCTCATGGTCTGCGATTATATCCGGAAAAGTGTAAGTTCTTCCAGGAAAATGTTGATTACTTGGATCATGTGATCTACCTAGTTGGTTTGGAAGTTCACCAAGCGAAGGTAAAGGCTATTGCACGCATCCCTCGTCCAACAGATGTGAGTAGGGTTCGTCCATTCATGGGTTTGGCGAATTACTACCAGAGTGTAACCATCTTTAGTTAGTAAGAACTAAAGTAGAGGTTACTCTAAATGTTGATATAGATACTTTAAAGTACACTAGTCATAGTTGTCATGTTAGCGATCCGCGCGCTTGGTAGGTAGAGAGTAGGTGTGCTAGTTGACAGCGCCACGTTAGCAATCCGTGTGCTTGTTAGGTAAGGATTGAGTATGTTAGTTGGAAGTGCCACGTCAGCAATCGGTGTGCTTGTTAGGGTTATCCGCCACCTCATCCATCCACTAGGAGTGAGATGGATGGTGGGGATAAAATCTTATCTCATTGTATTTGTTAGTGAGAGCTATATAAGGGAGAGTAGAACCATTGTTGGTATCTCTCATCTTCAGAGTTTACGTTTATATCTTTGAGTGAACTTCTCTCTAAACTCTAGTAATACATAGAGATATGTAAAAGATTTTAGCACTATAGCCAAACCCTTAAATCAATTGCTGAAGTAAAATCAAAAGTGGCAATGTGGATATGAACATGAGAAAGCTTTTGTTGAGCTCAAGGCCAGGTTGGTGGCTGCTTCCATCTTGAGTAGACTTATCAGAGGTCGTCCATACTAGTTGCACACTTATTAGAGTATGTTGGATTTTGGAGCGATGTTGACGTAGCGTGATGATGAGGGCAAGAAATTTGTGATTGCGTATGCTAGTCGTTCGAACAATGCAGCAGAGCGATATAGTTCGTACGAGGGAGTGTCTGGCAGCAGTGTGGATTGTGGCACACTTCAAGTGTGACTTGTTTGGTACGCAGTTTACCCTTGTCACGTATCACCAACCGCTCAAGTGGTTGATGGAGTCTGACAAGCTTACAGGGAAGTTTGCACGGTGGGCTCTCATCTTACATGAGTATGACTTTCACGTGGTGCATAGACCTGGAGTTCCAAACCTGGATACTGATGGTTTGAGTCGGACCCATGCACTAGTCAAGAGAATGACACTAGAGCTAGATGGCAGGGTGAGGTTGATGAGGAGATGGTGCTCGATTGGCATGCATCTGCCTTCATGTGTTTGTTGCGTGGAGACTCTAGTAGGGAGTATCACTTGACATCTTGCTCTAATCAAAGAGTGGATAATCAATCTTTAGATCTTGAGGTTGAAGATGGTGCTACGGATCAGCGTGATATTCACGATGATGCCATAGTGTTGGAGTTCCTACCGACTGATATGGTGCCATGCATAGTGGGTGCCAACGAGCGAGATTTTTCTCCAACGGGCAAAGAGATATCGATTGGAGATATCATATGTTGTTCGAGTATGAGAGGATGGCAGAATACGAGTAGTACCGCATCCACCTTAGAGCGCGCATCGTGCGACATGCTCATGAGGAGTTTAGACATTTTGGAGTGAAACGTACATATAGCTTACTCAGTCGGTATCACGTTGCATGGTTTGTGATCGGATGAGGGCATCCTTCAATGCTCCAACATTTGAGATACATCCATTACCCATCATGGATTTGGATTACCATTGGAGTTTGGACTTTGTTAGACCATCACCTTTGATTGTACGACATCATCGTTATGTGTTGGTCATGGTAGAGCATTTCTCCAAGTGGATTGAGTTGGTGGCATTACTTGACAAGGCGAGTGAGGGAACAGTGTATGCCTTCCTTGATAGGGTGCTTAGTCACTTTGGTACACCAGCTGATGTGTTGACCGATTAGGTTACAGAATTTCAGGATGAGTTTCAGATCTTGTGTGACAAGGCACTGATTGATCATCAAACCACGTCGCGAGATCATCTCAAGACGGATGGTTTTGTTGAACGTGTTGTACAGACCTTGAAGAAGGCGTTGCGCAAGTATGGCCTACAGAAGGGGCATCTTGGGAACTAGGATATTTAGCTACCATGGTTGGTCATGGGATTTCGGTTTAGTCGTCAAGCATTCTTGGCTTACTTTTCACTATATTTTCTGTTGTATGGCCGAGATCCAGACTTGTCGACATCGATTCGTCGTGAGTCTAGCAAGATGGTGAACCATGATGACCCAAACATGAGGGTGAGAGTATGTCCTCAACGTGAAGAGCTTTTCGGAGAGTTATGTCTACGGCGTTTGAAAATCTTGCAATTGCTCAACATAGAGATACGTTGCGGTATGCAACCATCTCGGAAAGTGATTATCGATCATCAATTCGTAGGTTCCATGTGGGAGACTACGTCTATTTACAGCGAACAGTACCGACAACATTGGGTGTGACGAAGGAATGCACTTTCTTGCGAGTGCATTAGGTGTTATCTTCTGGAGTTCTCCTGTTGGAATGTTGTAATGGTGTTGTTTGAAAGGATCATGTGCGCAATTGTGCGCCATGCCACCTCCCAAACGTGGATGGAGTATGAATCCAAGCTTAGCAATAGTACGTGCTGGCTTGAGGTGCATGCTCAGTGGGTCAGCTGGTCAGGCGTATCGTATGTTGGTGTGTGATAGGTGTTCTAGGGGATGGCAAATGTCGTGTCTAACTCCACCTATTGATGTTGTTCGAGCTGGACAATGGGTTTGTCCTCAATGTACTTCGGATGAGTAGATGATTTGATCTTCACATGTTATGAATTGCGAATAGGCGACTAACGATGGGACGACAAAGCATCCGGTCTACTGGTTCGCGCACCCACGAAGGTGTATAGCATGTAGTTGTAGATAGGACTACCTGGAAATCAGAGGAACTTGACCGCCCGCTAGGGACGAGAGTTGTGATACATTTGAATGTGTACGCTCTCGCGTTTTATATGTGTGTATGTGTGCGTATGTGTATGTGAGTAGCATGTCAGCGATGTAAATTGTATGACAATACATATTTTCACTACAAATGTCATGTACTCGAGTATTTATTAAATTTAGACGTCGAGCTACAGTTCCTTGTCACCTAGGGTATAGGGTCGAAGACGACTCGAAGAACTAACGTTCTTCGAGTCGAGCCTATTAGCGTTAGGAGTAGAGTGACTGCCCGTAAGTCCTGGAGTCTCTTTGGAGTGGGTTGGGCTCACCTTATGTTTGTGACGGTTTTGTTTCCAGTGGGGTAATTAAAACTGACATGTTTTTCAGTGGGAAAAATCACGTATTTTCAATTGTGGTACATTTGAGTGTGTAAGCTCTCGCGTCTTATATGTGTATATGTGAGTAACATGTAAGCGATGTGAAGTGTATGACGATACATATTCGCATGACATGTATCTTGTAAAAGATGTTTCCATTGCTCTGCCTTATGTTAGCTGGTTATGTTTTGCTAGAGTATTCATTTCTGATGATAAGCCTCTTGCTTGTAAATGGTGTGAACTTTAGATATTTGAGACGTACTATGTGTTGTATCATTTGTAATCCTCTTCAATGCTCTGGGGGTCTATCTCTCTAGTTCTTTATTGTTATTCATTGTCATGTTTCACATTAACTTCTAAAATGCATTTATACCATAAACAACCAGGGCTACCAAGCAATTCTTCACAACGTGCCAATGACATGTAAATATTTGTACCAAAGGAAGCATGACCAAAAAAAAGTACAGCCTGGATCTTACTCACTTTAAAATCAAACACAGCCACATGGAGTCATATACTCATTATTTCTCAAAATGTTAACTTTCCTTTCCAACCTGGTTTGCTCTTTGTACAAGTTAGTTCATCTAGCCCCTTCTTACTCCTTTGGTTTCATTAGTGTACAGCTGTTTGGGGTATTCAGATCCTTTTTGCATTATATTTCTTACTTCCTTTTAAGATTCATAGCATCGAAAATCAGCCATACCCTCCAGATACGATTCTACATTTACAGATTTATTGTTCATAGTATTTGCTACGATAATCGAAATTCTATTCTTGGTCTGGAAAAAATTGCACCCCATTGCAAACATGGTCATTATCTGTCTTACGCATGATCATATGATGATCTCTTCTGCGACTGAATTGTCCAGAAGTGGAGCAACAGAGGTTTGCGCAATTCAGATGTTGTAGCTATGGACATCATTTTCACTTCATTGAGAAAAAGTCAGGTAAACTTGCTTTGGTCTGCTTCCTGGTCAGATGATGTAACACATCCATGTGGACTTCTTAACCTTACATCACTTGTATCGCAAACAATATTTTGGTTACCTGATTCATAATCGATTTTGCTTCATTGTTCCTTGCGTTTAACACTCTTCGACGCTGCATGGGTCAGCTTTAAAGTTGATAGCCTTCTTCTCATTCGTCCCAAGATAAAGACAAATGTAAGTAATTTTGTTGGCGTTTCTATTGGACAGTGACTTTCGTGTGAAGAAACGCACAACACACTTTACTCTAACTAGCCTGCCACCACCCTTCTTTAACCTCATGATACAGCTGCTTGCGCCGAGATTTCGGCCACCCGTCAGCTGCTGAATGAACGCAGAGATAGAACCATATACCCTTAAATCAAAACCGACTTTATGCTCAGCCCAGTAGAAGGTAGACGGACGCAAACGGATGGTACATGCTATGCCATCCTTTCGTGGAAACAAGAAGGGGATGGCTCACCCGTTCAGGAGGTATGCTGGACAACTCTTTGCTGATCACGCCCTCAGAGAGAGATGCAGAAATATGATTAAAAAAATATATGAGCTCTGGCATTCAAATTGTTACAGCTTCAAGTGAGACGGTTGGCAACTGCACCAACGCTGGAATCACAAAAACAGAACACGAAGCTCAAATCGACACCGCTGGGAATGCTTGCCCCTCATCGCATTCAGTTCCACCCATGACCTGCATCCTAACCTGGAAGTCCCTACCCTAACCTAATATCAGCCCGACAACACACGACTGACACAAATGTCGATCATCCGCTCACCGACTAGATAGCCATCGTCTAAAATTAGAACACTCGAAGCTCCTTCGTTCCTTCAACTGGTAAACTGCTGTGCCATTCCTCACTCGTCCTAGTAATACCTAACTTCCATTAAGAACCCCGAATGCCTCAAACGTCCAGCTCCTTGACCTGACGCATGTAGCCATCGCCTACTCTAAATCAGGCTACACTTATTTCTGCGGATTTCGGTGTCCGTCATACACCAAAGCAGAGATGATGAAGTCCCCAAGGTATGGTACATTAGTACAGCTAAACCTACGTATGTGTGTGCGTACCCAAGAGGTTGAATCAAATGACAAAGACCTTCAACACTTTGCAGACACCGAACTAATTGGAATGAGCCTGTTGGAGCTGAGGACCATGATATGCAGGAAACCTAATCTATACAAAGTGTATATACTAGTGGTTAGTAAATATCGTTAATAATTACAAAAACGTTGCAGAACTGTGGGTCTCTGTACCAGATCTCAATTTTGAGATTTCGTGATCAAGACCTAGAATTAAAGGATCACTAACTGTATACAGACCCGAGGACAGCAAATTGAGCTTGTGCACTGATAATTTCTGGGCTTCGGATGCGTTCATTGGTACATCTATGTTACAGGTATCGTCATGCTCTTGATCTTGGATAGACAGGTCCGAAGCTTCTTCAGATAACAACTCGTCCAAAGAGTCCTCTATCGCATTCGTCTCCACAAGATCCTTCTGTTGCTCCTGCCCGGAATGATTGGCTGTTGCGGCTTCCTTTGAGGGCAAATCCACTTCAAGTTCCTGGTTTCTCCTCTCCTCTACGTCTTCTTTCTTGAGCTCCACAGGTGGCAAATCAAAAACAAAGTCGACCTTCTTCTGTGGTTGAGTCCCCAGTTCTCCTGATATCCCTCTCAGTTCAAGACTCTCAAGCTGTTCTTTCAACTGACGAATTTCTAGTCTTTCCTCCTGTGCCCTCTTCGCATGTGCCTCCGCCATGGCTGCCATACAGCGTACGTCCTCACTATGGATCTGATCCTCCGACCGCTTCGCTTCTTCGCGTAGCCTCAGATGCTGTAAACTGGCCAGCTCCTTGGCCATTCTTAAAACCTGCATATCATGTCCCTTGCGGCGTGAGGGGAGGGAAGATGCAGAAACTCTAGCAAAAAGTGAAAGCAGTGATTAAAATGGGTCAGGATGAAGGTACTAATGTTAGACAAAACAACGAACCTGCTCTTTGTACTTGCTGCGAGTAACCATAAGAGCCTCCAACTTTTGTTGAAGGTCAAAGCACTGTTGCTGTAGCGACACAACTTTCGCAGATAGGCACGCTTCCGATGTATTTCTATAAGCTGCTTTGAGTTCTGAAAACTGCCGCTCAAGAGTTACAAGGGAGGAATTTGTGGAAGCAAAGCGTTTGTCCAAAGCCTTGTACTGGTCCTCTAAAGCAGCGTACTTGAGTTGTCCAAGCTCCAATCTATGCTCACATTCGGCCTGAATCCTCTTTACGGCCACCTAACAAAAGTGCCACACGTTCAGATTCATGTGAGAAAACACATCCTGAGAGCTAGTGCTTGGTGTAAGAAACGAAGGCAGCATGATCCACCGACATTTTAGGGGGAACTGTCATCTGGTTTCGGGTAGAAACACACCTGGGCATCTGTGTTGTGCTGAGCAAGATTCCTTTCTAGAGCTTCCCTCCTCAAAGAAAAATGCTCCTCTGCCATAACGAGAGCTTTCTCCCTCTTCTCCAGCTGCATAGATTTGACCCTGGTACACACGCGGAGGTGGGAGATTTAGTCGATATCTTGTAACTGAGTGTCCATGCAGATGACATTTTTCATGGTTAGCTCTCAAGAACGATAACAGTGAACTCGGCTCGCAAATTACATCAAGACATCAGTCAATGTGACGTCTGATTTACATTACGAACAGTCCGTCTTGAATTGAAGTTTCTATTGAGACACACAAACTCATAGTACAGAAAATGGGAATGCACAAAGAAAAGACCGGAACAGACGAAACTTACCGTAGCTTTTGTTCCAGACCAATGTTCTCCTCTTGAATCTTTTGAATCTGGTAAACCATCTCGTTCTCTTTCTTCAACCAGTTCCTCTCAAGTGTGGATAAAGCTTTCGCTTCCTTCTCTTGCAGGTCTTGGCGCCACTTAGCTTCCTCTGTGCGCCTCCACATTTCGAATTCCCACGCCAACTCATAGGCAGGGTGTCTCTGCAAGTCTGAGGCTAGAGTTGATGATATGGTGGGATCGTCATTGGGATTGTCCATTTGAACACGCTCCTGACCGTCTTTCAACTGCTCTTCGTGAATCGATCTCTTTTTGTCGCGGTTAAGAGCGTTACCAGAGTCCCCGATATCCACATCCTGATTTTGCACATCCTTCATGACGTCCCGAGATGGTCCTCTGGCACCATAACTATACTCCGATTTTAAACCCTCAAAAAAGTTATCGAACGTCCCGACAGAGGCCGACTTGTGCACATGCGAGTTCGAGTACTTGGCTGGTTTTTGAAATTTGTCCTGGACTCCGCGGACAGGACCAAGGTCCTCCATCGATAACACCACACGCAAAGCTCCGACAACACACTGGACAGAGCAACATATTCAGCTAGCTGAGTAAAAAAATCATTAAGATAGACGAGTAGAAAATTCAGAAGGCAGCATGATGGACAAGATGCACTCTGGTGTGCACTGCATAGTCAATCCCAAAACAAATACCTGGTCGCCTTCGCTGCCAAGATTGCTAGAAGTCTGACTGAAAACTGGAGCAAATCCATCGATATATGGTTTGTGCATCAGTTGCACGAGTGGTATCGACGCTGTGCCAAGAAGGCTATCCGTGGTGAATCTGCTCAAATCCAAATGGCTAGTCTGAGTGACATTTTGAAATAACAAAGGCATCACCATCTAAGTAAAAGTGAAATCTGCAAATCAGTGGTGTTAGCTAAACCATCATAGAAAGGTCATCAATATCCACCATGTGATATCCTCCTCTACCCAAAATCTGCTGATTGCTTTAAATGAACACGTAATAGCTATAAAGAGCTCTTGTGACGAATGAGTAATATGGTAAGAAACAGACTATTTGTCAGTTTTATGGCGGGAAAAAACATGTAATTCGCTTCTTGAGGAACTGTGAATTTGGTGTCATGTAGGATGGCAACACTTGAAAGACGCTTGATCCACGATACGTCAAGTTGCCTTCCGATACCCAAATCTACAAAGGGGAAAGGCATATTCTTCGTTGCTTACTACGTGCCTTGAGGTGACTACAAGATGGTTGAATCAGAATTCAGCTTTTTGATGTTACTCCCTGTAACTTATATTGTGTCCTACCAAGACATTTCTTTACACATTCAGACACGCACTTATGCTCGAACTTCAATGACTAAATGAGATGTGAACAGTGCGTAGTAGCTGTAGTAAATACATCGGATGTATAACGAAGTGCTTCTCACTTGATCTATCGACTCTTGATTAAGATTTTGAGACTCTCACCAACATCATCGGATGGTAATCAGATTCACAATGTCCTACCAAGAGAACGAGCAAGCAACGCAAAAAAACCACCAAGGCAGTGCACTCGGGAAATTTCGAAAAACAAAAGCGTAAATGTATCAGAGAGTGAAAGGGTTTATATGGATCTTACCTGTCGGAGTGAAGAACTTGTGCGACCAGTTGAGGCTTTTGTGCCAAAGCAGAAGCCATATTCCCGACGTATGCAGGAAGCTCCAACGCAACATAGCTGAAAGCACTCAGACCGCACCAGCCAAATTTCCATCAGCATTTCATGGCACGTTCATGTCTGTCCACATCATCCATCCACAGCGGTAATACGCATGTCAATAATCCCAATATGGCCCAATCTTGGCTTCTTCTCACCTACGACGCCCTTGGGCTAGATTCTCGCTCTCAGTAAAACCCCCAGCAAGCTAATCAGATGAAAGAAAACCAGCAGGTGGCAGGTACTGTACACGAGAGATTATACGAGAGATCTGTCTACAACACAAAGTTGTACACTCCACTTTAAAAGGCCGGAGGATGGATGAGTGAGTATTCATTATGCATTCACTGTCAAAACGGAAATTATATGGGATGAATGACATTAAACTACATGGGATGAAGGACATTATATTATTTCTGATGCAGGACATCCATCGATACTCTGCATGACATTCAACTGCTAGATCGGAAGAGGGGAGGAAGGGCAAGCTCGCCGCAGAGTATCGATAGACTAGGAATGCTTCATAACAGGGAATTTCAGTGTGGGGGCGGATCATTGGAGCTAAGTCAATAATGCGCTTTCGAAGTGTGCAATGAATGAATTGAGGCTGAAAATTTTCATTTGAGCGGGAGGCTTATCTGGAATCCAAAAGGACCTGAGAACGAGTGAATATAATTCAGGGTTGGAGTATTGACCCGTTTGGAATGGTCACTTCGGTGCCCCTCTGCACGGCGACTGGAGGATGAGTTCGATGGGGAGTCGTCAACTTCGAAACATTCCCCGTCAAGGGAGACGCAAGACCAAGGTTCACAAGCTGCTGAGGCATAAGCACACGCACGTAGACATTCACAGCTCGCATTTGAAGCCGCAGATTTGCCTTGAAACTCCTCACATCAATGCCGATCCTAAAATGACGCAATTCCTCGTCCTTCATCCGCCCATTCCCTCCCGCTCCTCCTCCTCCTGCTCCACCACCACCACCACCATCCCCGCCCTCCTCATTATTCCCGGCTCTGGCCGCAGAACTATCCATCCAAGCCTCCATCGCCCGCACTCACTCACGTGACCTCACCTCACCTCACCTGCACCCGCACCCTTCCAAATTCTCTCGACCTGATCAATCTTTCCACAGCCTCTCAGCCCTTCTTGTCCAGCCCTCTTCCTCGTCACCTCCTCCCTCTCTCCCTCCTCGAACTCCTCGACCTCCTCTTCCTCCTCGTCTCTTCGGCTGCCTTGGCTGAAACCTATCGACCGCGCTAACCTTCAACGACGACTTAACCGAACGACGACCTGCGCAGAGTCATCGACACCACCATCACCCGAAACGCAGAAGCCGACGCGAGCACAAATCTGGCACAATCCGATCGGCGAGATCGGCAGCAGCGCCAGCACCAGCACCAGCACCAGCCTCGTCCGGTGATCTGATCCAAGCGGGCTCCCGCAGGCCAGCCAGCGTCACAGCCAGAGCCTCGTCCTCGCCCCTCCTCGCCCTCGTCGATGTGCCTTCATAGCCTCGGTCTTTAGGGTTCATCCCCGAGGCAGCGGAAACCGGGTCGTTATTCTCCGCTGGCTCCGCCGGCCGGATCTGCATCGCCCGCGTTCCCATCCACCAAATCCGAACTGTTCCGCGATTTTCGAAGGCAGGTCCGGATACTCGGAAGTCGCGTATCTGGGCCCGGCCTTGCGTCTTCTATTTAATCCAGCAGCCATTTGTCCTTTTTTGAATTAGGCTTTAATTAGGATCGGAGTTATGAAGGATTGTGTGTCCAGCTGTCTGGCCTTTACGGGCGAGCTTAGGGCAGGGTCTCTGGAAAAATGCCCGGCGCATCATCCAGACCTGCATCTCCAAATTCTCAGGGGCTCACGATTGTGAACACGTGTTTCTTTGTGGAGTTCGCATTACGAAGTGGTGGCGTTCAGTGATTTTTTCGATTCTCCCATGGTTCATTTGCCACGATGACGTTTTATTCTTGAGGAAAAACAAATTTCTTTCGTGCTCGTAAGTTGGGGGCCCAGTTTAATAGCAATGATGTAGAGGCCAATTATATAGAAACAAAGAATTGTAAGAATCCATCAACCCTAACAAGAATGAAACCAAGGGTTAGTACGTATAGTATCACCATGTAAAATAGATGTAATATTATGAAAAAAACTATCTCTATTTATCTACTGATAGTATTGATAACAAAACAAACAAATAGCACCTGAAATATATCTAAATCGATGAAAACATATTGACTATATATTTATATATATGTGGATGGTGATATGTTTATAATGAGTGCAAATTACGAAATCTTACATGAAAGTATTCTGATTTATAAGCTTAAAATGAACATATAAATTTGAATTATAATTTTCTCATCCATTGAAAGAAATTATGGTCAAATTTGATTGATATACAGTTTGAGCATGTTTAACATTTAATTTTATTATTTTAATTCTCATTATACTTTGATTTTTTTGTATTCAACACATTTTCATCACTCACATGTGATTTGAATACTTATTGAATGCACCATGAATTTATGAGATTTTTCTCTTATTTGACTGCCTCAATGTGATTATTCATGACATAAATATGAATGTATGTAGATCATGCTCCACATCACATTTTTTATGAAATTTAATTTTGAATAAAATATTTTTTCATTTAAAAATATGAAAATGAAAGAAAAATATTGCATGTATGCAAATATCATCATTAATTTTAGGTAATAATCTTAATCTAGCCATGTATAAAACAAATAGAGCTAATCTAGACATTGAAAGGTGAAGAGTAGAATTAACAAGGTTCTCCGCGAGAAGATATCAAGGTAAGATATACATATAAAGATCATTGAAAAGTACTGAAGTGAGAAATTAGTTTGATTTTTAGTTTAACCATCGAATAGATATAAGCACATAATATTTGATAATCCTTAATTTAAAAAAATTTATTATTGAATAAAGAACTATGATATCATTATATCATGAATAGATTGAAACAATTGAAGAAATAAGTAATGATTATTATAAATTTATGTTGAAATTAACTTTGGTTAGGTGATAAACTCAGGTTTTAACTATTTATAGCGAAGTTGGTCGTTGGTGTTGGATATATATATACACAGGGTCTGTATATCCAAACAGAACATCCAGTACACTCACGCAAGCACTTTCACGTGGATGTAGTACTTTGTGGTGAACCACATTACATCTTGGTGTAGCATGTGTATTATTTACTGTCATTTGATCATTGTTATGTGTTTAAGATTTTTGGCTAACGCTTACAAATGATATCGGAGACTTTTGTGACAAGACATGGAATAAAGCATCGTGTCTTCGGGGTGGAAGTAATCATACTCCTTGGGGTGAACCACGTTACATTGTGTCTAGATAGTGACTTGATTTTTTGCTTTTTATATTTTATCGATTAAGTCTAACAATTTATATATCTTATAACGTTTATTTATGTAAATTATTTAAAAAATTTGCTCTTCAAGATGACATGTAACTAGTTCAAATTCATAAGATAAGTTAATTATTTTGATAACAATCATTGTTTTCTCATTCATTGAAAATACATTTACAAGAATTACATATAAAGTATCATGAAAGACTTTCAATTAAACATTGAAGAGAGAGATTAATTACAATATCAATATATCATTTATAAATACAAAAATTGCAAAATTTACGATTTATATTTTCATACATCTCTGCTGAAAAAAGTTACAACAAAATGTTTCATATATTTAAGCATTTCATCTCATAACACACATGTATTGTTTGTGAAAAGTTAGTTTATGAACAAAAGATGAATTAAATAAATTAGTAAAAATGATTATATATTTATTTTTGTAGCTTCATAAATGAAAAACTTTCAGAGTACTAGTGAAAAAAAAGATTTAATGAACAATTCACGATAGATATATTGTTTCAAATATTTAAAAAAAATTTATAAAAAAATGTCCATACGATGTTGGATTTAAAATCTGATGTTGGTTAATTATGCTGAAATTAGGCGTTGTTAGGATAAACAAAACTTTTGAGATCTATATGCTTCATTAGAAGTCCATCAATAAATTTAATCATGTGTTCATTTAGACATAACTTCAAAGATATCAGCAATGTATTCAGTTATCCATTATATGCTGCATGTGATTTTTTAGTAAACGACATTTGATTTTTAGAAAAAATATTGTTGAAATAAACATTATAAAAAATATTTATCAACATTCATTATGATTTAAATATGATATTTTTATTTGGCTCTAGTTTTCTTCTATCAAATTTTTTAAATTTATCTGATTGATATCACTATTTTTTACAAATTTATTTCTATTTTACTATTTTTTGAAGTTAAAGTATAAAATTTTAAATATATCATCATATTTTTTGATAAAATATGATGATATTATTGAATTTTACTTATGATCATTAGATTTCTTGTCAAATTATCAAACTCGATCTACTGCAATGATAGTGTTCAAGGTGATAATATAAAATATATGTGTATCTTTTAAATCATCAAGTCTGTAATTATTTTGATACATACAAAAGTAAAAGAGATTATTTCAATCATTGTCATGATTTACAAAAGAGACTGAAGTTGTGGAAGTTTTGCTAGTTCACAGTTGCTTTCCTCAAGAATTGTTTTTACTACACATGTACATTCTCAAACATGCATGCGTTTGAGCATATCCAACCTATGGATACATAATTTTTATCTATTTCTTGTTGAGGTTATTGATGAAATAAAAATCTATTATCACATAAGATAATTATTATTTTTACGAAAATAGCTTATAATTTAACTAACATGCACATATTCATTGAACATCTCAAAAGAATAATCTCTTCTATGCTGTCCTGGGTATGACACCATGGTTGGAGAACAAAAATAATCGGAACTGTGTGAGTTTCAAAAGTAAAAAAAAAGAAACCAGGTGGAGTCTTCGTCATGAAGACATTGAAGTGGCACATTCGCTGCGTGATGAACACATACGATTAGAGATATCAAGTCTTGTAAATTAGAATTGCGTCCACCGCTTGTTAGGATACTTATACAACTTATGGAGCATATCAAAATATTAATATATACAAACAATATTTTTCCAGCCCATGTGGCACCGGGGTGACACATAGCCTTTGAATCTGGATCCATCATGGGCTCTATGTTAGATTCTCACACGTCAGAAGGCTCATTCCTGTCCAAATTATTATACTTACAGGGAGACAAGATAGCATGTAGCTTATGGCCGCCAATATGTTCATTTCACCTCTGCATGAACATGGGACTATTATACATTGCAACCAAATAGTGAAGTCTGAGAGAATTTTACGAGGACGTGTGCCATTCATTACAGCACAAAAGTTCTGGACAGGACGCAAATCCTTTGTCGGTCCATGAGACAGGTCCCGTTGCTCATCCATGCGAATCCGCCCTCGGACAGCGTGCAGAATGAATCGATGGGAGAACAGGACGAGCATGCCCGAGGGGCCGAGAGTCACAAAAACTTTGAGTGAGGAAGAGAGCATCGATTGCAGGTCGAGGAGTCTACTTTCCCGATGGGCGGCCTACTTCAGAGAAAATGCAGCCAGTGACACCTCGAAAGGTGACACTTTTGACGTGCACTCCAAAGTGGTCGGAAAGCTCGGCCTTGATACCCTGCATGCTTGGAATGCAAGTTCTCTCTGGCTCGTGGTGAGACGTAGACGCCTAGAGCTGGCGCCGAGGATTATCTTCCTCAAAAATGACGTCGGCTGCTCGACCGCCTTTTCTTCTTTCCCAGTCACAATCTGGAAAGAAGATGAGGAAAGGCTCGTACGATTCGCTTTCCCAAGACGTACTGAGCCGATGTGCTCGTTGACAATTGACGGGGGAGTCTGATTCGCAGTCGGACCTCGCTGACATGTGACGACGAAGTGGATGAAGACTCCCCCATCCTTTATATAATTGCATGGACCCGCTGAGCCTGTTTCCTGTGATTGTTCTAGTGCAGATACGAACCTCGTTGCTGGATGTGGCCATGGGATGTCACATGAGCCCAGTCAGTCCTGGTCGCGAACGTGGTACGAAGTCAAAATCCACATCAGGCTGGAAGGAGAAAGCAGAATTCATGGATTTCTTATGTCAGGGACGAGAAGACAAGTAAACTCTTAATCCGGTGTCCCATGACGGAACCAAGCACCTCGCGACGTCGTGACCTAAGACTCGTATTTTGCATGGGGTTCGCGGTTAGCTTCGACGCAGATGTGGCTGGTACCAAGTTGCTGCCCATGTTCTTTACACTACTCTTCTGACGAATGCTCCTCCCGTTCAGTGACTGGACGACCGCACAGTGCAAGTCGCACGAGTGAATGCTGCGAGGAGGTTCTTCAGATGGTGCAGGCGTCAACTTTGTATCTTGTCTGGTGCAAGTTGGCAAGTTGCCCACTTGAGATTCTGTGACGGCTTGCGCCATGAGGGCTCTCCGTGAAGGTCCTCTGTGAGCGTCACCCCAGAAAGTTGGAGGAAGTCCCTTCAATTCCATTGGGATCAGATATTTCTCATTCAGGTTGCGTGTTTCTGTCTGCCGGTCAGAACACATTCCATACACTACTCGGTTGTCCCCGGCCCCCGCAGCTCTGCCGCCATGGCAGTCGCCACATGGGCCCTCATTGGAGTCATCAATCTTACAGGACGCATTGTTTTCCAGATCTTTCAGACTTTCCAGAAGAAGAAACAAGTTCGCAAATGCTAATGGCTACTGGTTTAGCAACATGAACTCATGAGACCACAATGCATGCACGAACAAAGTCGATCGTATGTACAGATCGCATCGCCAAAGGCTTTCGTATATTACACATATGCTAAGTCCCTGAAAGATCGATACAAATCGCGACGATGACAGATGGCGTCCAGGACGTGATCGTACGGCGAATGGCTATTCCAAATCCACTGAACACTGACAGCATACGGGAAGATCCTACGATATGGGCACTATCTTCGGCAGACCTTTCTGATAGCTTGAGGATTTTACACAGGGCTTGTTCTGGTCTCTATCTTCACTTTCGGCTTTGGTGGTAATCACATGACACAGAATTCGGCGAATCAGAGTTCGAGGTCTCCCGTAAAGTATGTTCACTATGGGACAAATTGAACGGGGTAGAAGAAGCGAGGTAAAGCCGACAAAACTTCCTGACCAGTATACAATGTCCACGACCGTGTCCCTCTGACGGCATGTTCGTCTATCCACCAGAGGTGCGGAACTATCATCCGATGCTGGGGACTCGACCTGAACTTTGCCGTCGAACGTATAAACTGACAAGCTTTCAGAGTGGACGGATGCAACCCGGATTGGTGAATTGCGATTCACTCATGACAATCTATTATATGTATAGACCACTCTTGGACAGAGATATGTATGTTGGTAAATTCCTTATCCAATGAAGATGGATCTGCATGCTGTGACTGAATCTACACCCAGAGGCCATTTTCACCTCCGGTGAGACATTTCAACTCGGGCATTTCTTGTGCTTCGGAGAAATGTCAAAATATACAGTGTTTTTCATGTGTAGTGAGCAATCACTGGGATGTCTTTGATTCAAGAAGCTATGTACTTGAGAACTAAGATCGAGATTCCATGGAACTTACTCGGGTTAAGGTTCTCGGTTTTCGTTATATGGTGAGATTCGCGACATGATGAAACCTCACCACCTAGGCGATACTTTATACAGTGTACAAAATCTGGTCATTTCTTGTTTGATGACAAACAAGGTCTTCGAAGAAATTAATTTCTACCAGGATTTCTTCGCCAAGAAAGGAAAAGATGTGTCGCCTGGAGGAGTATCCTCCTCAAGAGCCATCGAATGCACGGATGCGGGTCCGTACCTCTTGTACTTCTTTTTCGTTAGACACCAAGCTTCCGGAAATGTACTAACCTGAGATCGACACACCAGATCGTAGTCAGATTATGCAGCCGAAAATTTTAGCTATATTTTTTCTGGTATACGCAGGTCCGAGAGGCAGTAAGCAATTTCATGGGCACTGATAAACAAATAGAAGGGTTAAGAACACACATTGCTTATTAATTTCGCGCCACACCAAGCAGAATCTGGTCCTTGTTTCGGAGGGAGCACTTCTAGACCGTCGGCCAATGAAGAAGACGAGAGAGCCTTGCAAACTTCCTTCTTTAACCTTCCTGCATTGGCATTCAGTGCATCCTCAAGTCAAACCGAAAGAAAACCTATTAAGCTTTTGAGGTGAAATGATTGTGAGATTTTATCACATGAAGTAATCAACGATGTTCTTCTTTTTGTGTCCGTTTCGGTCTGAAGCTTCAAAACTCACCAGCTAGACCTGGAAGACAGGCTGTGCCACCAGAAAGAACAACCGTCTTGAACCAATTCTCATCACTCTTGTGCTTGACAGGCAACGTTGCGGAGTGCTCCATGCACAATGCAACAGCCTGCTGCAAACTCATGGTTCGCCTGTGGAAATAATCAACGGCCGTAAAGTAAAACTTCGAGAAGCTCAGGAACATTAGATGCTTGCATAATCCCTATGTACATCTAATGTCTCATGCGCTTGCAAACAAACAAAAAACATCTCTAAAAAATCAGCTAATCATAGAATAGTTAAGCTTACAAGCGTCCAAGACGAGGTTGGAACAATATCTCCGGAGCTCTAAAGCGCTCGTCTTCGAGCGTGAATGTGCCCTCTTGGTGGACTCCAAAAGATGCTTGAACATCTGCTTTGTTCAATTCCTCTTCAAAATCTTCCGCAACATAACACAGATTCTGCCAACCAAAGGATTTCCCATCCATCCATTACTGTTGAGTCTCAAGCAGGTGTAAATGAATCTGAAACATTGAGCCCTTCCAAAACGAATCAAAAAATAGGCCAACCAAAAAAAACATTTCCAAGTTCAAAACATTCTTGCAGTGGTAGGAGATTGAATATCTCTCTTTCAAGTTATACCTCTTTCAGAGTGCGAACAGTGTACATGGAAGCAGCGGGTCGCATATTATGTTGCATGAGCTCGCCCAAGTGTACTGTCAGCTGCATGGCCCCTTGACCAACTATTTCAACACCGACACTCCTCATTACCTTTCCATGCAAAACTGCAAGTCCGACACCATTATTCAGTATAGACGTCCTTATAGTGAAGTTAAAAGCCCTTCCTGGCAGTAGTAAGAGATTCCATCACGCCAACGTTCTCACCAATCGCCATCTTCTCTCCTAATTCAGGCTAAAACGCGAGGGCTTCATATTAAAAACGTACTTGGTACGACGGATGTAACATGAAATCCCATGTTGACTACAATTCCAGACGTCCGATCCGCAGCAAATAGCGCCAGAACTGCCTGAAATCACCGCGAAACTCTAGAATGAGGAGCAGCTTGAGTAAAGGAAGATAGAATAACAATTTACACTAATCTATTCATGTTAAGTTCACAAGAAAGGGCTCGTGGCCAGCCATATATGCCCACTTATGAAGTAAGGGACGAAACATCCCATTTGCTCAAACCTGATTCACGTAGCAGATAGCCGGCACCCCCAATTCAAAAAGTACGAGATGGGTTATTTCTCGCAACTGCTTTCTTGCTGCCAATGCAGCATCGGTATCTGCGTTTCCACCAGGACTCACATCAATTTACATGGGCTTACGACAAGCTTCCAAACTATCGAAGTTTACTTTCCGAGCGTTAGGACATCAACTATACACGCAGGAAAGGGAAGAGAACGTACTATCCGAGTGGCTGATTGGGGCGGTCAGAACGATAGGTTGGGCATTCGGTTTGGCCTGCATGCTGCAAAAGAAGTAGACGAATAGGCATGAGCTTGAAGTAGCCACATCGAAGATATCGGACAACTGTATTGGTAATTATGTTGACTGGTCAAGAGTTGCGTCACAAACCGCTGGAACAAAGTAATGAAGAGTTCTTTGAGACGGGGATAGATTGGTGACTCGATGTTTCCAAACTCCTGCAAACAGTAGAACAGATAATTTACAATGCGTGTCAGTTGGGTATTTGTGGTCGCTTTCCAACTGGCATAAGTTTTACTCTCCATCAAACTTCGCCTTGCTTCAAGACAAGCACACAAATCATTACTCGCGCTCTCTGTCAATTTTGATGGCAATGTTATCCACACAGAACTATGGGCAGGTGATCAATCCATCCTTACATTGAACAACTTCTACCATACACCAGTGCTCTCGCATCAAACACCTCGCAGCCTCTAAGCATGACCAATTACTCGCGAAATTGTGACAATAGGTACTGATGTATGACGGCCCTTAGAAAACTGACCAGAAATGTTGCAAATCGCTGTTCAGGTCTTTCCTGATCGCTCCATCCGTACTTACAGTATCCAGATCCACCTGATAAACCAACAAGTGCAAGACAGCTGTAAGTGTACATATATACTCAGAGGCCTGGTGTATACCAGATGGTCATCTGCATGAATATCTACCTAGAGCTCCGTCAAGTCACTAAGAAACTCACCATCGATAATGACAGACCGAGGAACGCGCGAGCGCTCCCCATATATCACGTGGAAAGGAAGGGGCAGGCAGGGTTCTCTGTCACCATGCAAGAAGAGACACATCGTACACAAACTTTCAATACTCATAGGCATTTCATTGATATCAGTGTCTTCAGATTTGAATAAAACAACAAAGTATCCTCCGGACTCAGAACACCTGATTGGGGGAAAAGAAAATGCTGATTGGATAAGAGTTATAGTAGCAATTGATCAAGATTTGGTCAAAGAGCAATACAACCACTAAAACTCATCTGCCTCTTTTTGAATGTAGCATGTATTTGATTTTTGAACTACAAACTACCACATGTTGTTTAATCGCGAACCAACAAGTACGATCGCGCTGACAGGTACTATGGTATGCTTGACAATGCAAACTGTCAGCGGAAATGTACGAGAAATCTGACGTCTTTGATACGGCAAAATCCTTGGGCTGTAGAAACGAGAATGACTCTGAGTAGAGGCTTGGAAGATAAATATGAACATCAAAGTAGTAGAGAAGGAACAGAAAAATATAAAATTCGGCTCGACCATATGGTGACGAACGTTTTGACTGTCAGCGAATGTGAGGTCTTTGAAAATGTCATCAAAGTCTTCTTCGGCAGGACTTTATTTCCGACGTTCTATGTTCATACCTGATAGCTCCTCCTGTTCTAAGGTGGCCCTCGGCGAACAGGAGAGATGGCCAAAGTTTCGGACCAGCTTCCTCTGCTAGCAGTGACTCCCATAAGACTTGATCGTTACTGACAAAGTTCCACGTCTGCACACCAACCGCATGAAAATGTCATGTCATGTTTTCGTAAAAGGGTGTCCAATGTTGACTAGAAAATGCCCAAAGTCTTCTGACACTCAAAGTTGAAATTTCACTCAAACCATTGATAGCCAAAGCAGACAATGGCAGCAGATCTCGAACCAGCCTAGCATCTTCGGGAGCAAAGGAGATTCTACGGCGAATCTCACGACAGTCTCACGAGCAAACCAGCGACGATACCTTGCATACGAGGCTCGCCATCACCAAATCTCTTGCCGGAAGGCGTCTAAAAATCGACAGAAGCAAATCCCCTGACAACTTGGTACAATCCGACTCCTCAGATTGTATATCCATCTCGTCGAACAGCGCCGACACGGGTATCCGATGACACATCGATATGAAAGCCCGTCTCAGCAAGGCGACCATCTTCTTCACGAATCGCACCCGGACCTCCGGGTCTTCGATTTCACTTGGCGCACAAATCTCGTTTTCCTTCCTCGGCTAGTGCTACGATGTTCACCGGAGTCGGAAGCTGTGTGTCCTTCTCCTCCAATAAAATACTATTTCCTAGCTACCTATGCTTTACGGCTGTTTTCTCAGATTCTACCTCGCCGCACACCTCATTTCTTCCGCATCGCATAGAGTAGGCCCCCAAAAGAATTCTCAAAGCAAAACGCAAACTCTCGATTCAATTAAGACCACTGTTACTTCAGCTGCACCAGCGCGCGGAGGAAGACCAGACTTGCGCTTAGCATCCTCCCATGAGCGCACTCGTTCGAATTGGTTTCTTGCAGCCGCGTCAGGAGAGGCCCCGTCTCACCAATTTCCGCCCTCTCGTCCCAACGAGAAACGATCAACATTCACGCGTGGGACACTGGCGCCTGGAAGCACAGACAGCACGGAGTGTCGACCGGCTCAGACAGAGCTCCGAGCTCAAATTCTCAATTGCTCAATTGCGCTCCGTGCCACGGAAAATTGGCAAGCCACTCTCCGCCCCCGCGCCTTCTCCCCTTCCAAGTTCCCGACTGGCAGCACGTTCTCATTCCTCGACCTCTCAAAGCCAGGACTCTCCTCTCCTCTAATCTCCTCTGATCCTCTCTCCACTTCTCTGCACTCCTCTGCTTTGCTCTCTTCTCCGTCCTCTCGTTCAATCCCTCTCCCGAATTCCTCCTCGAGCGAGGGCAATCGGCAATCGAGGCTGCTGCAGACGACGATGGCACTGCACGCGAATCTGCGACGATGATGATGAAGATGAGGAGGAGCAGGAGCAGGGGCAGGGGCAGGGGCCCGGGCCGGAGGCTGGCGGAGGAGTTCTCGTAGCTCGGAATGGGCTCGCGCTTTAGTAGCGGGGCCGATGTCGCGATCCGTCGAGGGCCGAATTGCACGCACGTCCGCAGCGATGGCTTTCGTTCGGTGGTTGGGCTCCGATTGCGAGAGCCTGCGAGCGCCCTGCGAAAGCAAACGCCAAGATCGACACTGTCCTCGGGCGCTATTCGCACGACGACTCCAACACCAACACCAACATCAATAGCTTGCGTCTCCCGCCGACTTGTCCCGTCCCGTCCCGTCGACTCGGAGTCCAGGCACTCCCGGTTCTCTCCTTTCGGGTCCCGCCTGTCCCGTCCCGTCCCGTCCTGTCCCGTCCCGTCTGGTCCCGCCTCTCTCCCGTCAACGCACGCTTCCAATCGAGGTCTTTCTGTCTCACCGCGCCTTCCGCAGCGATGGGAGCCGTCGATGTCCCCGATTCCGCCGAGGCCGATGTACGATCACGAGAGGAAAAGTGGTATGGGCATTGATTCGCTTCATGAATTAATTTTTATTTATTTAAATGGGACACTTTCGAGGTCGTTGGAAAAAGCGGCAGCGATATCGAGCTTTGTTGATTCGATGGTTGGGTCAGACTTGTCGAACGCTTTCCGACCCTTTGCTCCTTCCTGCCTGTGGACGCTTTTAATTTTTTAAAAAGAGTTTCACCATGTTTTATAGAATGGTTTCGTAAAGCTCACAATTATAAAATCACATATTTTCCAACAGAATGTTTGTCTCATTGCGTGTCATTAATAGTGAACGTCAAGCTACAATTACAAGTTATGACATTTGGGATGAAATAATGAGGTTGTTGTCCACTTAGGCATAGACAGAAGTCAATGATGCTAATACACAGTGCAGTTTTCTTCAAACAAACATACAGTAAGACGTTGATGCATGTGACTCGAGTTGCAAGAATATGGTATTTCATATTTACCGATGCATTTAGACACACTTTCGAGAGGATATTGACAGCTGCTTCGAATTTACAAGTCTTTAAGCCAAAGGTAAGTATCAATGATTCGTGATATTTCTCTTCTTGCAGACGTACTGCCTGATGGTTGCGAGGGTATCAAGTTCCAATTAAAATATTTACCCTTTATCAAGCTAGATTCTTCTTCATTGTATTTAATGACACTCAGCGTTGACCATCATCTTTTAGCACCAGGATGGGTAACATATTCTCTGATGTGAGTTACTGAATCTTTACGTAGTGCTACTTCCTTAAATAATAACATATTTTTTTATTGTGATGCTTCCATATCAAAGAAAATAAAAAAAAGAGGAAGAAATGTGTATCATAAACGATTCACCGACATATGTTGAGGTAAAGCAGGATGCATGCATGTTTTAGTAACTTTCATAGGAGATTTGATCATTATTTATCATACAAGAATTCGAAAAAATGATTTTGAAATTCCTAGTAGTTGAAAGTACTCTTAATAAGATGTAGTCAAGATGTCAAATTGAATAAGAAATATAAAATGTATGTAAGACTATCTTCAAAACCATTAAGTCACGTAAGATTATTCATACGATTCTTACGATTTTATACGATTCTTAGAAGAGAATGAAGGGAAATTCCATAATTTGCATGGGGTTGATTTGTTTGATTTCATGACTAAATAAAAAATTTAAAATTTGACATAGATATAAATTTTACTGAGAAATATCACTTTTTAAATAATATTATAGAGAAGGTATTTTTATTGACTAGAAAAATGTGCAAGAAATTTTAAATAAGTAATATATATATATATATATATATATATATACATGTATATGTTCATATTCATATCTAGAATACATGTAAAAAAAATCTCAGGAAAAGGATTGATATCTTTCCTAAAAAATCAACTTTCATCACACGACTGAAGTTTTAAGTAATTTACGATTCCATAATTTATGTAGAATTTAATTAAATCTAACTAAATTTATTCTGTAACTACATATACAGTTTCTGTAGGACATAAGACTTTCCTGGGTCAATTAAGAAATTTTATCAGAATATGATTATAATTCGTGGAAAATAATAATGATAATAAACAAAAACCTGTCTTAAGATATATTTCCATGTTTTTGACTCATTGTTTATTGAACACCATTCCTAATGTAGATAAAAAGTACTTCGATAACTTTCAATTTACGAAATCTAATCAAGCATAAAAATTGTATGGATTTCAAAATCTATGGAAATTTAATATCAAAAATTTAAAATATATTCATATAATCATAGACTTTTCCAATTCACTCAATTATTATGAGATTAATATGTTTAAGGAACAAAACTTAGTGAATTCATAACTGTTAGGGTGCACATTACATAATAAAGTTTGCTTTTTTTTTTTAAGTATTTCGCATTGTGTGAAGATTTTTCCATGAATTACCAAGATTAAAGTCTTGGACAACTAAAGTTTAGAATATCATTACTAGCGGAGGACATCAATTTGACATTTGGCCGGGGCGAGGGTTTTTCTATATACCAGAGATTGTAAAGGATATGATGCGTCAAGAGGAAAGGCTCTACACAATATGCAATGTTGTTATAGAGTATGCCGATTTGCACCTTCTGTAGACAGTAATAGTTCAGAGTTTATATCAGAATACTACTTTAGGATATTAAGTACATTCTTATTCCACTCTTACCGCACACTTCGTACAGAATGTAGTCTAGTTTCGTATTTTCGAGCAGTACGGTTGTGTACACCTTTATGTAGATCTAAGTTCACTTGATCCTTACACTGTATAAAAAACAGTGTATAGGAATGAAGAACGACAATGAGAAGAACCTGCAGCCAAACCCAAATAATCGAACCCTGAATGGAATATCCACTGTACATTTATTTAACTGTTATGGTACATTCATGAAAATTTGTACAGTTGTAGGGTCAGTTGATGTGTAGGACACATGTCCAATTTTTTATCTATTGCACAGTGAAATATCTGATAATGCTATTGCACTGTCTTTGTCACTCATGCATTACACGCTGGGCTCATATATAGTACTCGAAAGTACTGGCATCATCTATGATATGTTATTGGTGACAATAATGCTCTTCCAAAGTTGATGTGATTGTTTGAAATATATAATGGAAAGTAGAGTTCACGTCCTTTTTGTATGATTTGGTCTGGTATTGTTGTTCTATAGCCACAATTTTCGCTATACTTCTTTGCTCCTCCTTCTTTAGCAGTGTCGTTCTATACCCGAGGTACGTGTTATGGATTCCTTAGCAAAATCCGTTTGACACCTGGACTAGCTTCTTTGACCCCTCGGTTAGACCATTCGCGATGCCCATTGGTTGGTGTACCAGTGATTTCATTAAACTGTGGTGTCGTGATCTGCTGGGCTATATCTGTCAAGAACTCGCTTGACCATCTCAGAGGTCGAGAACAGCTAATGTAAATATAATGCATGAGTGCAGATGAGTAGATTTCACTAAATTGCACGAATTCTTTGCAAAGTCTCTTGAGGATATATCAAATGTTCATATTGACGACATACCTGCAGTTCAAGCACAAAACGCTTTATTATATTTGAAACCATCTACAACTCACTATTCGTGCGGAGCATGCTTGTAGTTGGTTTGAATCATGCGAGCTAGAATAATTCAAGGAAATGCTGATATGATTGATTGCATTGCAAATAAGTAGTCTGTATCAGAATGAATTGTTTTTCCAGGATCGATAAAACAACCTTTTGTTCCAGGATCGTCGACCACCTACGACGAAGCAGTTTTTGTTTCTGAAAGTAAATTCCATCCCCTTCTCAAATGGCATATGTGCATCCTTTTTGAGGTATTCGGTCCATGCCCCGCAGGTCGACAAACTGCATGCGGTATCCGAGTACAGATTTCCCTCATCTACTTGAAAAGCACATGCGAAGGGCATCCCGAAAACCATGTGGTAACATGATTATTATCTCATATGTAAGGGAACATCTTCAATGGACCGTCGTTCCTCTGTTTACGATGCCTTTAATGATATCATTGAAAATAAATATTAATCGCCATTTTATGTTCAGAAAGGTTCTATAAATCCAAACAGCTGATCAGAACAATGTTAAGGGTGCTGACTTTTCTCCACACTACTGATCAGATCCACTCTTTCTCGAAAGCTGGACGCATCAATTGATGTGCCCAGATAATAATAAGAACGTGGTGGCAAAGTTGCAAGGTTAACACAAAAACCGAAACTCCAAAGAATACCGAAACGACTGGTCTCCACCACATCATGAACAATAGCAATGGGATATTATCGTGATTTTTATACATATTACTCTCCGCAGAAATTCCAACTCTTTGATACAGCTCTGAGGGAAAGTTATCGAAGACTTGGAAGACACACTGATTAACAAACATGGTATATGTCATTTTCCAATTGCGTTAGACGGACGCCAGTCGATATGATATACGATCTATATTTCGAGCCAGTCATGAAGATGGCGATCAGGACTTTATGTTCATGAAGCTTAAGCAGAGCACGGCATCTGCGGCCCTCAATGCCGGGATATTCGGGCCCCCGGGCTCTGACAGCCGTGTCACTCACGACGGCTCGTCCAGGGAGATAAAGCTTTTTCGGATACGCCGCCGTTTGAAGGCGAGCGGATCCAAGCAGCGCAAGCAGCGCAGGATCAAGTCTGCGGGAATCATCCGAAGATTCCGAGCAGATCGTAATCTAGTCGGCCTCGAAGCCCCGATCGGCATGTACTTGGCACCCGTGACGGAATTGACTCCCTCGATCGCCCACACTGCTGCTTCAGCCGAAGCTCGAGCCCAACTTTTCCAGCCCATCCACGGCGTGAGCTTCGACCGCCGACTCTGACCGGTCTCTGCAACAGAGGCACGGGTTGAAATTTGGAGCTCGGTGCTTTTTGGGTGTGTGCGATCTGTCGTGAAAGTGGTCCCCAGGGGTTGAAGATCGACGGCCCGATCGAGTCCCGGACGAATACCAATCGGGACCCGTCGGCGACCGATCCCGCCACGTGAAGTGGATCGAAGACTGCAGAGTCCGACGCGGCATGCGTGACGATTTGCACAGTTCTTGTCACGCAGATCGCTTCTGAATCGTCGTCGTCTTATCCGACAGTTTCTGCGGCCTGTCATGTTTCGCCAAGCCTCTCCTCTCGAGTCCACTTCAACCTCTTTTCTGCCACGTTATGGTGCAGCGGAACACCCTTTTGCCCCGAGAGGAGAGTTACATTGATGTGATTTCAGATGTTTCACTCGTGCTCCTTCGATGGGTGGCTCATGGCCACCTCGCTTCGTCCCAGACTGTTGTCATAAGCGTAAGTGTTGCGATAGATTCCCTACTGCCTTGCGTGCATCCGATGTCTTACATGGGAGCTAGATCCTGGTAAAATCCGAGGTCGAAAGAGGTGCACTTTACATCGAGCGCTAGAGCGCTAGAAACAAGAATCCTGAACGTCGAAACTGTTGGGGAAATTGAGAACCGGGGCTCTTTCGATCGAAAGTTACTGCCGCTAAAAACTCAAGAGTCGGGCAAATGATTTGACCCAGCCGAAGAGAGTGGAATTTCTCGACATGATCAGCCCGGGGAAAATCTCTCTGTAAATCGTGGCGCGTGACAAGCGAGGGATTTGTTTTGTTGTTCTAAGAAGGCTTTCGATCGAGAAGTTGGCTCTTGCTGAATCGAGGCTGTATTCGGCCGAGTTGGCTTCTGATGTTTTGGAAGCTATCTCTGCTGGAGCAATGTCGCCACACTAAACTGCATGCTGCAGGTGCGAGTGGGATCTCCGAACATCAACACGCTGTAGCAACATTCGCAGGGACGAAGTCCGAGCAGCACACCACAACTGTTTCAATTCATGCTCGAAGAAGATTCCGCCACACACTCTCACAGTGCACACGGCCGAGCTGTCCAATCCTTTCTGCGCCACAATTTCGAGCCTCGTCTTCCGATTCTGGCTGCACCTTCGGCCTCTTGGAAACCTCCGTCTCCTCGCAAATCGATGGTGCGAGTCTCGGACCCATCGACAGCAATGATTCAGAACGAGGAATGAGGATCGAGACCACGGAGGCCACGCCACGGCAACAGTGACGCCGGTGCCGCTGCCAACTCATCCACAGACCACTTTGCCAACTCATCCATCCCTATGACCGCGGGAGCTGCCCCGATGGAGCTAGCTGTCGTTCATCGGACAAGGAAGCGGCCGGTCACCTCGTCGTCATCTGACATGGCTGCTGACTCAAGAAAGGTCCAAAGCCAAGTAGGCAAATTATAGGATGGCAGGAGCTCCCATCGAGCCGTACATGGATGACATCCCGAGGGCCATCGCGCGGATGTACATGTCCTGACTTCCGTGTTCACCACGTCACCGCGTCCAGTTCAGCCGCTACCGTGAGTCGCATTGTACAAATTAGCACGTTTATGTTACTCTTCGCTGCTGGACTCAGTTCTTCTTGTACGGATTGGGAGTTGCAGTTAAAGATGGGTCCTTCTTTGCTCCTCGGTCATTCAGGCCTCAATGTTGAATAATGCGGTCGATTTATTATTTGGCATTCGAATATTTTAACAACCTTTGCTTGCTACTGCAAAAGAATTTTCAGTTGCGGCAAAGCTGTTTTACTTATGAAGTGGATGCATGGATCTCCAGGGTTGAAACCATAAGCGGTTTTAAGTTGGGGATTGTTAAATTCACCCCTGTCGCCCAGAAGTTGTTATGGCAACAATGCATTTCGACTTAAATGTCAATGAGATGCAAACTATCAAGTTGTACCTTCTAAATTTAATCATGATCAACTCCAAGCGCATATCTAAATATCTAATAACCTGTATTACTATTTCCTGGGCCAAACACCGTTCCATCTAACAGCACTGCACACCGTGCAAGAGTCTCCAAACATGTTTCAAAGGAACACTTCGATTGGAAAAAAAACTGGTATGTTCTCAAGTAGCAGAGTATCCATGTAATTTTACATTAATTACAACTATCTCTCATTGGCTCTCTTCTCTTTGGGTTTCAAATCATTGTATATGGAGAACCTGAGAAGAAAAAGCTCAAGCTTATCAATTTGAAGACCAAACTATCCATCACATTAGGCATATGCATATTTGTGCCTAATCAAAGTAAATAAGTCACAAACCTTAATGAAATTAGGCACGATTAGGTATCATTACTTACAGAAAACTTGAGAAAACAAAAAAGTCTTGCTCCTGTTTCTATAAATTTCAAGTTCAAGTTCACAGAGGAATGATTCAATTTCAGCAAGTTCTTGAGCAATAATTCTCTCAAAAAAACATAATCTCCCAGTTTTATTGCTTCAAGGTGTGCAACAGATCAAACTGTTTACATTGGAGAAATCCTTCTAGAGAAAAAATCTATCAGTGACATGTTAAAATTGTACTTCGTGAATTTCAACATTGAGAAGTCACCCTCGACAGGAGCTATATTTGAAAACGGTGAACCCAGTCCATCGACGAAATCTACTACAAAATTGAAACCCATGGAAGATTCATGCATTTTCAAACGAACACAGGTGATCACAGGAATCTATGGCTTTTTAACAAGCCAAGACATTTTTGTACATGGTACAAAACTTTCCAAATTGAGACTCAATTTTGTCACTTTCAGAGAAAGATCAACTACAATCTACACAAGACTTCTGTTGGAAAATAAGATGTCTAAGTCTAATATCACTACCTTTAAGTTTCACTATTTCAAAAGGATACATGGATCAACAGTCCATATACTTGCTTGATCTGCGTCAAACAAGCACAAGTTATCACAGGAATCTATGACTTCTTTACAAGCCGAGACATTGTTGTACATGGTACAAAGCTCTACAAATTGGAATCTAATTTTGTCAATTTCAGAGGAAGATCAACTACAGTCAAGACGAGACATATGTTGGATAATAAGACGGTTGATATCACGACCTTTAAGTTTCACTAATTCAAAAGTAGACACGGATGAACAATCCATATTGATGCTTGATCCGCGTTCATCTTTGCAATGCTACGTACTCCATAAATCCATCAACAATGTCAAATATAAGGAACGCATACTTTCGAAGAAATACTTATCAAATTGGTTCACTAAGATTGTTGATTGTAGTCGAAGCAAAATGCTCAAGATCTTCAATAAAGCCAGTGATGTTAATATAGAAAGTAGATCAATTGTTGCGGATGACATACGTGAATTCGTTGACATTTTCAAAATTGAAATTGCGAATTGCATGGATCTTGAGCAACAACTCACAAATTAGTAGTAAAACATGTGTTTGTTGTTGGTTAAGCGTTAATCGATGACCTTGGAGTCGCATCACCGTCGTATGTATAGCACTTGTGATGCTCCTTATGACAACATTTAGAACCCATCAAATATAATTTTTAGAATGCGAGTCGAGAAGAACTCACTGGAATTTTAAAATAATGTGCATGGATTTCGTGACGATGATCATCTAGCCAGCTTGTGACACTAAACATGGCGTGCCATCTGGTCGTAAATGTCTTGGAACAAGTTGATTTCATCTTGGAAATAAGCTTCTACTTTTGACGCAGGTGCGAGATCATAGATACTAGTGTTGCATACCATGCATCCCCATCTAACTTCAAGTATGCCTCATGTAGCTGAATGTCAAATTAATGGAGAAAACATCACACACGAATGAAACCTTCTAGTGAATATTGTTGAAGACGCTTGATAACACATGCAACATGACCAGTCATGTTTTGAACTCCATTTGATGATACATTAATTCATTGATTTCTTCAGTTGGAAGAGAGTACATCAAATAAGTTGCACATAATTTCAAACTATGACAAACCATTATGAGATACGTAAAACAGATGTGATATAGGATGCAAATTGTAAAGTTGGCGACACCAAACAATATGAGCACAAATATCTATGTATGAAGTACTCATGCAAGTTGAGGAATCCAGAGCGATTAAAAACGCCCACACCATGCGTAATATTAGAAATGATCTAAAAATTGGCACTACATTGTACGCGTACAAATGTAGTAATTTTCAAATCATTCATTCCACTTAGCTTGGGGATTATGGCAACTTTCTTTGTTGCTTAAAGATCCAACGCACTATGTCTGAGACTAATTCCAATGCCAATATACTTAATTGCACATTGATATGCCATTGGGCTTTTGATAATCACAAAATAGTTTTCCGTGTGAGTATCTAGCGTGAATACGCGCATTGCATTCTCATTGATTTGGTATTCAAAATCTTGAGGATCCCATAACATTTCTTTTATGATAACTTCAACTATAGCCTTGTTGTAACACTAGGGTTTAGAGAGAAGCTCAATCGAAGATAGAAACGTAAACTCTAAAGATGAGAGATACCAACAATGGTTCTTCTCTCCCTTATATAGCTTTCACCAACAAGTACAAGGAGATAAAATCTTATCCGCACCATCCATATCACTCTTAGTGGATGGATGACGTGGCGGATAACCCTAACAAGCACACGGATCGCTGATGTGGCGCTTCCGATTAACACACTAACTAACACACTCAATCCTTACCTACAAGCACACGGATCGCTGATGTGGCGCTTCCGATTAACACACTAACTAACACACTCAATCCTTACCTACAAGCACACGGATTGCTGACGTGGCACTGTCAACTAACACATCCACTCTGTACCTACCAAGTGCGCGGATCGTTAACGTGGCAACTATGACTAGTGCACACTAAAGTATCTATATCAATATTTAGAGTAACATCTACTTTAGTTCTAATCAACTAAAGATGGTTACAAACCTGCCTCCTTTTAAGATGCAACGTACTCGTTGCACATACGTTCAAATTCTTGAACTATCAAAGGTGCATTTGCTAAATTTTTAGCTGGTTCCCAAGTTGATTAATATGATGGATAATCTTTCCATTAAATCAAATAGTCTGCTTTGGGATATTTATGACCTCGAATACTTTTCTTGAGTATCTTTTCTACCTCAAACTCCTCATGATATGCTATCAAGGTTGGAAGAGGAGGTGGTGCTGGTTGGTTGGTGAATTGTTTTGGTCGTGGTACATGTTTTCGCAATTGTGACACATGAAATACTGGGTGTATTTTCATATGTGACGGAAGTTCCAACTTGTATAACACTTCACCAACACGCTTCAAAACCAAAAATGGACCAATGAACCTAGAGTTCAACTTTGGTGTTCATACAAGAGACAAATTCGTTGTAGATAACCAAACATGATCTCCAACCTCAAAAATCACTTCTCTACGATGATCATCTGCATACTGCTTTTGTCGATTTTGAGATATCACCAACTTCTCCTTGGCCTGGTGTAATCCTCGGTGAATATGCTCCACAAATTCGTTGACTGCTGCAACTATGGTCGAAAACTCATCTCCTTTGGGAAGTCTTATCAAACTTGAAGGAGTTATAGGATGAGCTTCATACATAAGAAAAAATGGAGACATTTTTGTGGATGCATTAACAGAATTGTTATATGCAAATTCCACAAGTGGCAAAAGGTTGTCCCACTCTTCTTGATCTTCTAATGTGAATGCTCGTAGTATATTCTCTATGGTTCTATTTGCCCTCTCCGTTTGTCCATCAGTTTGAGGGTGATAGGCCATTGACATTGCTAGTTTTGTTTTGAAAAAACTATACAAAGTTTTCCAAAATAAACTAATGAAGTGAGTACCTCTATACGTGATTAACACTTTGCTTAAGCCATGATTCAAAAATACTACATCTAGACACAATTGAGCTAGTTGTGGAGCTGTTAAAGTTTTTGTGGTTGGCGTGAATCATCTTGCTCAATTTGTCCACAAAAACCACCACTGAATCATGTCCTAACGAAGTCCTTGGTAACTCACATACAAGATCCATGGTGACATGTTCCCACCGGTGTTCGGGAGACAAGAGGCTCTAATAAACGAGTTGGTTTTTGATTACTTGCCTTGTTTTGTTGACAAGAAACACAACTTTGAACATAAGACACCACATCCTCACGTATTTTGGGCCAATAGTACACTCGTTGTATACTCTCCACGGTTTTCTCCACTCTCACATGACCTGCAATGGTTGTGTCATGACTTTCTGCCAAAATCATTATGCGCAAATCGTGATCTTGTGGAATCCATATACGCTAATTGTAAAACGCCAAACCTCGAGATTTCTCTGCCTTTCCAGTTTGTAGTGACCGAGTTATCTCTTCATCCTCCTTTGTGGCTTGTGTCATCTTGCTCCACCAATCAGCCTGAATTTTCACTTCTGCAACATGATTCAAACAAGGCATGCTTGTGACAGCATCTGCAAGTTGCTTCTTTCCCTCCACGTATACAATCTTCATGTTGAAGCGTTGACGCCACTCTGCCCATCGAATTTGTCGTTTGGACAGATCCTTCTTAGTTTCCAAATAAATCAAGGATTTATGATCAGTCTCCACCACAAACTCCTTATCATCCAAGTAATGCTTCCAATGTTTGGTGGCCAACACGATAGCTAACTCCTTCCGTTCTGTCGTGTGATAATTTTGTTCTGCCGCCACCAACTTTTGAGAATACAAAACAACTGGATGCCATACATCCTCCCATTCTTGTTGAAGTATGCCACCTACTGTTGTACCTGATGCGTTAGTAGCCAACTTAATAGAACGGTTAGGATCATACCACTTGAGAATATGTGCGTGTAACAAAACATCTTTCAGTGCTTGGAAACTAACTCTTGAGCTGTTTCACATCTCCATTTTTGACCTTTCCCTAACATGGAAGTCAAGGCTTGAGCTAGGCGAGCAAAACTTTTCACAAATCTACGATAGAATCTAATGAGCCCTAGAAAACTCTTCAATTGAGTTTGATCCTTAATTGATGCTA